AGATCTCTCGGCAGACTGCTGCGGCCACTGTCCCGCACGCCGACCGCTGGGACATCATTGCTTCGCAGATCAGGATGCGCGCGAGACAGGCGCTCATGGATGCGGCGGGCGGTGACCCTTGGCTCACTGAGAGGCCAGCAGCTGAGTCGGCCGCCCATCTTTCTCATCTCCAAAGCGCCATCGACAGCTCGGAGCACCACATCGTCGCCCCGGGCCAGGGCAAGTGGAAGTGCCTCCTCTGCCGCCAGCTGTTCCCCCTTGCCACGCTCAAGGAGGCGGCTGCGGGACCCTGCCATCCCCCAGCCATCGACCGGGCCATGTTCGACCACGTTCTCGAGGTCACCCACGGCAGCCCAGTCGCCATGGGCACGGGGACCATCCACAGCTCGCACCGCATCATGGACTGGCCCACCCATAGCCTCTTCTTCTGCAACGTGTGCGGTGCGTGCGGTACGACGATTGGCATGGGGCTGCGGGCGGAGTGCAAGGGCACCACCTCCCGCAAGTCGGCGGAGGCCCTCAAGAGGATCGCGAGGTCAGCCTACCCTCCCACTGCGGCCCCCCGCAGGCCACTGCTCACTGCTCAGGCGGGTCGCATCGGTGCCACCATCGCCCATGTGGCCGCGGGCGGTCTGGCCCCGCCTGACCCCCTGCTGCCGCCGCCGTCTGAGCAGGCCCCCCCGCCGCCGCGGAGGAGCAGTTCACGGCGGTCATCAGATCCTGCACGACCGAGCCGTTAGGGCGGCAGCCAGGCCATCCCGCGCCAGGACAAGCGATGCGGGCAGAACGACCACCGGCCATGCCACCAGGAGGGGGCGCAGCACGGGGACACCCTCAGTAGCGGCAGCGGCCAGCCCCGCCAACCCACGCCAGGCGGATGCAAGCCGCACGCACGGCGCGCCAGCCACTCGCAGCGGGCGGCCTCGACGCCCTGAGTGGGAGCGCAGCAGACAGCGCCCAGGAGGGCCATGCCGGGCGAGCCGACGTCGGCCACGCCAGCCCCAGGCTGTGGCTACAGGACCACGTGGCGCCATGCTCGGGCGGAGACCACCAACGCGACGGTCACGGCCAGTCCAACCGCGCGGGCTACGCATGCACATCGGCCATGCGGCAGCTTGCCCCCGCGCCCAACGGCAGCCGCGCAGGTGCCCCACCAGCCCTTCCGGAGGCAGCGGCACTCGCGCAGGCACCGACAAGTTCCAGTTCCTCCTCCAGGCCTCCCAGCGGCAGGGACAGCCACCCTCGAGGTTCACAGAGGATGAGCCCAAGCGGCACGACGTCGCCCAGCAGACGTCGCTCTCCCGTGCAGGGCGCTGCCCCTGGCCCACAAGCCGCCACGTCGGAACCTCCTGGTGGCGGTCCTTCTGCGCGAGCGGATGGTTGTCTTAATGGCGGGTCCCTGGCAGGGCCTGCACCGCGAGATGCTGCGGCTGTGACGGTGCGCAAGCAGGCCGCCCACCCACTGCCGCCGCTCGCTTCGCCGAGGGTCGAAGTCCAGGGCTGGGATGCAGCGGCCCGAGGGGCACAGGCCCCGTCTGCGATGGGCCTCCCGCCACCTGCCCCCCCAGGGCACCAGCAGGTCGAGAGTGACTACATGGACATGCGCCGCGATCTCCGCGACTGGGCGGCGCACTGGTTCAACGCCGCGACGCTTCAGAGCAGCGACCAGCACGCATGGCAGGAGCAGTGCGTGCTCTTCCTCAGCGCGATGCTGGCCCAGGGTAATCGCCCCCTGCGCCAGAGCCTAAGGCGGTGGTTCGGCAGGCCGATTGGCGACATCGCGGAGAACGTCTGTGCCGGTGCATGGCGCCAAGCGGAGCTGATGCTGCGAGCATTCGTCGTTGGCCACGAGGGGTCCGAACTTAGGGGCGCCAGCGCATGGGCCAACGCCGCGCGCAGGAGCTCCACGACATCATCGAGATGTTCCGCAGAACCCTCTGTGGCGGGCAGTTCGGGCCCACGGCGACGCCCGCGAACCGGCGCGCGCCTCGGCCCTGCGCCCCCGCTGGCCGGCGCGTCGGAGCGTCGGGGCCTCCTGGTGGCAGTCCAAATGCGCGAGCGGTTGGTTGTCCTAAGGATGGGTCCTCGGTGGGAACCGCGCTTCGAGGCGCTGCGGTTGCGACGACCGCTGCGCAGCCAGTGCGTCAGGGGCAGGCGCCCGCCCAGCGTGGACATCGACATGTTCGACTGGCCCCTGCGGGGCGAAGGGGTGGCCCGCCCAGTGGAAGCACGGCGCGCGGCGTGGTGGGGAGTCGCGGGGACTGCCGTCACAGCGCGTGCGCGCCGCTGCCCATGCTGGAGCAGGTCGGCCCCGGCAGCTTCTGCGAGTGCGGCGTAGTGTGGGGTCGCGGGGACTGCCGTCACAGCGCGCGTGCTCTGAAGCTGCAGCAGGGCCAGTGCCGCGTCATGGCCGAGGGCGACGTCGGCGGCGGCGTCGGCAGCGCGACCCAGAGCCTTGGGGAAACCCCCACCGGAGGGAACGCCTCGGGCATCATGCCGCCACGTCGTGTTGGAGGCGCCAGATCTCGAAGTCTTGGAGCAGCCCCTACGAGAGGGAGCTCTCCAGTCAAAGTCGCCACGTCGTGCTGCAGCTTTGGATGAGGCACGATGCTCGCGGGTGCGCGCCCCGCGAGCCAGCCGGCCAGCCGCGGCCGCGGACTTCCACGCGCGCCAGGCAGAGCAGCGGCTCAGGCACTCCCTCGTCGGACTGGCCGACCTCGCCGGGCAGCGGGTCCCCAACTGGACTGCGCGCGACGGTGGGTGCGAGGGGTGGGTGGCCCACTGTGTGGAGGAGTTGACCGCGTTCCTCGCGACGGAGCCGCGCAGCGCCCTCTTCGTGGACGCGTCGCCAGAAGTGGCCTTGCGCATGAGGCAGAGGAGGGCCGGGGAGTTGCGCGAGGAGGCGCGGCGGCGAGGCCGCCCAGCGCGGCAGGCGGCCGACCGGCGGCCGCCTTGGTTCCCGCCGCCCCGACGATCCAGGTCGAGGAGCCGATCGCCGTCCAGAGCTGCCAGCCGCAAGGCGCCTCCGTCTCCCTCGCCTGGCTGAAGGAGGGCCTTGCCCAGCTCGCCGTGCGCGGCAAAACGGCAGCTGCGGCGGCTGTCCCGTCTGCTAGGCTGCCCCCCCCACCTGCTGCGAGTGGATCAGGCTGCCGGGGCGCCCGTGGGCCCCCCGAGCGCCGCAGGCCTGCGGCCCAGCCCGTGGGCCGCCGCTGGCGCGAGGACAGGGGGGCGCGCCGCCGCTGGCGGGGCGGCGTGGGCGGGGTCCCGGCTGCCAGGAGGGGCGGCGCGAAGGCCTGGGCGGGGTGGGGGGCAGCTCGCTGAGCACCCCGATGCCCCGCCCCCGAGCCAGGGGCAACCTCGCGACCGCCCCGCGTGGAGGAGAGGCGAGCCGCGGCAGATGGGGAGAGGCCCGCCCGCCGTGCGCGGCGCCCCGCGGGGCTCCTGCCGCGCCTGGTGGGCCTTGCAGCCCCCCCCAGGCCGCCCGCAGGGGCGAGGAGTGGCTGGCCGCCGCGGCGGCTGGCGGAGGGCGGGGAAGTGCCGCCAGTGCGGCGCCCCGTGGGGCCACCGTCGCGCCTGGGGGAACCTGCGGCCCTCCCCGCCAGGCTGCGCGCGGTGGCGAGGAGCGCGATGATCGCCTCAGCCGTGCATGAGACATTTGGGGCCCTGGCGGTCGTCTGCTTGCAGACGGCCGCCAGGGCCTCTTTGATGACGCCCCATCCATCCATCCATCCATCCATCCATCCATCCATCCATCCATCCATCCATCCGTCCGTCCGTCCGTCCGTCCGTCCGTCCCTCCTCCTCGTCCTCCTCCTCCTCCTCCTCCTCCTCCTCCTCGTCCTCCTCCCCTTACTCCTCCCCCTTCTCCCCTTTCCCCTCCCCCCTCTGTTCCCGGTGCCACTCCTCCCCCTCTCGTTGTCGTCTCCCCCCCTCTACACATGCAACATGAAACTCCTCTCTCCCCCGACTCTGTCCAGAAGATGTGCCGCCCTCCCCGCGCACGGTTTTCCGTGCAGGATTGAAAAGGTGGTCTGTCTCACGCATTTCCAATCCGATCGCTATCCGTCCCTTCAAACGGTGCCCTGCTGCAGCGTTGGCCTCGTTTCCGCGTTCATGGTCCTTCAAAATCGTGCATCGGTTGCAGCGTTGGCATCATTTTGCGAGTTCTCGGTCCTTTCGGATGGGGCTCCCGCTGCAGCGCTGGCCTCATTTCCGAGTTTTCGGTCCTTCCGAATGGTGCTCGCGCTGCTGCGCTGGCCTCATTTCCGAGTTTCTGTCTTTCCGAACGGTGATCCCGCTGCAGCAACGGCCTCGTCTTAAACGGTCCTTCAGCATCTTGCCGGTTGGACCGTTCACGCAGCCATGGTATGCAATTCAGTGTGATGTCATGTACCGCAATGTTTCGAATACCGGCCTTGCTCTGCTATGCTGTGATATGAGACGGTGGGATACACCGTGTTATGCCATGCATTGGTATACCATGCAATGCAATGTTATGCATTTCGAAGCGATATCATGCTTTTGCGCAGCAGTGCTATGATATGGCATGCTTGACTACGCATGCTATCGCATGCTGTGCACAGCGTGCCCTTTGGGGTTCGTCGTCCTCTTCGGCATCCGACGGCGCGAGTAGAGGGGCACTGCTCGATGGTAACGGATGGGGGGGGGGAGGGTGGGCCGTCAGATGTAATGCGAGCGCACCTCGTTTGTCCTCCTCCCTTAGCTCCCCTCCCGCTCCCCTGCTCCCCCCACCCTACGTCCTCAATGCCAACGTCCTCAATGCTAAGTTGAACGGGGGCTCCTGGTTCCAGCAGGGGCCAAGGGTGATAGGCACTGCATCTTCGACGAGGCCACCCCATCTTCGGCGAGCGGGCGGCTGCGGGGGTTGGGTTACCCGATCTCCTCATCCTCTCTTGTCTCCTCCCCCTCTTCGTCCTCCTTCTCTTCCTCGTCGTCCTCCCCCTGCCCTCGTCCCCATTCCCCCCCACACAACGCGCCAGCTGCCTGTCCTGCGGCACCGCGAAACGCCTGCCCTGCCCGTCCGCGGCGTCCGCGGAGACGCCGAAGGCGGGCGGCCGCGGGGGCCTTGGGGCGGCGGAGCTCCTCCCCGCCCCCCCCCCCCCCCCCCCCCCTCCTCGCATTTTCCCCGTCCTCGTCCTCCTCCTCTTCCTCTTCCTCCTCCTCCTCCTCCCCCCCCCTCCGTAGCCATTTTGGCTCAAGGTGGCTCCAGCGCCGCGGCCGCTTGCGTTTCCCTCGCACGGCCCGACTTTCACTCAGCCCCCAGTCCCCAGGCGTCCTCTTGCTGGGCTCTGGCGCACTCCTCATGAAGGGCGCTTGCGCCGCCCCGCTTCGCGAGGTGGGCGCGACCTCGCCCTCAGCCCGCATGCGGCGGCGGGCTGCGATTGCCGCGGTCCGACATGTGCAGCGGGCGGCCTGTGCGCTCACCGCAGCGCTCGGGACGTTGCCTTGTGCGCGGACGGTGCAGCCGCCCATTGAGCGCATCGCCCACCTGTCGGCGGCGGATGGCGCGCAGTTGGCTGGCCGGGTTATCCTGGACTGCTTTGGCGACGCGTCCGCGGCTCATACGGCCCCTCACTCATGCCACATCCCTCGGGCAGCCGCTGGGGGAGCTCTTCGCGGAGCCGCCAGTGCAGCGCCTCGTTGGCAGCATGCTCCTCGCCGTGTTCCTGGGCCTCGCGGGCGCATGTTTCTGGGAGTCTCTGCTGCTCGTGCTGGTGCTTCGCTTTGTCGTGGTGTTCCTGGGCCTTGCGATCCTTGAAGTCGCACCGGCGTCTTTCTCCGCCCTGTCCCTGGACCACGCGGGCGCGTGTTCAAGGGCCTTTTCTGCTGCTGGTCCAGACGCTCATCCTCGCCGCGCTGCTCGGGGCCTCTGTGGTGATGCGGAGGTCGTCTCGCTACGTGGTGGAGCTGGTCCAGCGTATCGGGGGCTTCGCGGTCCGCGCCGCGGGGGTGATGAAACGCTTCCTCGCCCTGTGCCTGGGCCTCGTGGGCGCGTGTTCAAGGGCGTTCTTGCAGCTGGTGCGGCTCTTCGACCAGGTTGTGGCGATCTTCCCGGTCCTGTTGGCGTTCAAGGGTGCGCGGATTTATTTCCTTGTCCTGCGGATCGTCTTGGTCGTGCTGAATTCCTCGGAGGACTGGCGGATCTGCCTGGAGGCGCGGTTCTTCGGCCATTTCGTGGCGAATTACCTGGTCCTTCGGATCTTCCTGGTCTTCCTGGTCGTGAGGCGCTTCCCGTTCCTGCGGATCTTTTCGGAGGCCCTGTTGCTCTTCCCGGTTGCGCGGATCGTCGACCAGTTTGTGGCGATCTTCCTGGTCCTGCGGTTCTTCCTTGTGGTTCGGACCCTCTTGATGTTCATGGGTGTGCGGACATCCCTACTTGTCCTGCGGATCTTCGTGGCCGTGCTGATCCTTCCGGAGGTCTGGCGGGTCTTCCTGGACGGTCGGGTCTCCGACCCCTTCGTGAAGATCGACCTGGTCATGTGTATCTTCATGGTTGCGCGGATTCTGCCGAGGGCCCTGCAGCTCCTCCTGTCTTCACGCCCGACGGTGGCGTGGGGGTTGGCGGCAGCATTGCGGCCGCGGCCTGCTCGCCCTTCGATTTCTCTGCCCTGGAGGCGGCGTGGGCGGCGGCTGCGAACGAGCTCATCGGGATCTTTGCGCACTCTTCTGATGAGGGTGGGATGGCTATGGTCTCTGATGTGCTGCGGGCAGATAGCCTAGACGAGATTATGTGCCCGTCCTCTCACAATCGACCGGGTCAGCCCAATGCGGCTGGCTTGGATCTTCAGCCCCAGCAGCCAGGGAGTGGCTTCGGTGGACTCCCCTCGCACGGAGGGGGGCACAGCCTGGCGGATAGCACGCGCTGTGCTGTCCCAGTTGATGCCGCAGACCTGGTTCACGGCATGTCTCGAGGGAGTGGCTTCGGTGGACTGCCCGGGCACTGCCTGGTGGATAGCACGAGCTGTGCGGTCCCAGGTGATGCCACACACCTCCGCTCCCAGGGAGTGGCTTCGGTGGACTCCCCTCGCATCGAGGGGTGCACAGGGTGGAGGATAGTGCGTGGCGCTGCCCCAGGTGATGCCGCAAACCTGTATGGAGCTCTGGGCTGACGCTTTCCCTGCGCCAGCCCAGTTCCTTTTCCCATCTTCATCCATGGGTCTGGGCGCTCTCCCCGCGATCCCTCGGGTGGTGGGGCGCGTTGCTGTCAGATTCCGAGGCGGGCGTCTGGCCCTGTCTCCTTTTCTGTGTGGAGAAGTGCACCGCGCGCCCGCTCCAGCTAGTGTCGTATCCTCCTCCTCCCCCCCCTCCTCCCCCTCCTCCCCCTCCTCCTCCTCCTCATCATCATCATTTCGTGTCCCTTCTAAATATCTCCTCCCCCTCGCACCCCGAGGCCGGTCGAAAAGGGCGGGCTAGGAGCCGTTTCGCCTGAGACTTCCACCACTTATGGTCCTGAAGCTTAGGAATTGGTAGCAGTTACGCAGATGGAGGGCGGGCTGCTTCCAAATGTGACTCGCCTTCGCGCCGCTCGCGTTCGCGAGAGTTTGATGAATTGAGGGCGGGTGGTTTTCAGAATGTGATTCTCGCCTTGGCGCCGCGCGCGTTCGTTTTGAGAATTTGCAGGAGCTTCACGGACGGAGGGTGGGCCTTTTTCAAAATATGATTCTCGCCTCGTCGCCGCGCGCATTTCTTGTGCATCATGTGCAAAAGTTTCACGGAATGAGGGCGGCCGTTCTCAACGTGGGGTTTTTGCCTTAGCGCCGCGCGTACTCGTTTATAATATTCGCAAGATGGCGACCGTGCTAGAAACGGTGTTGCGGAGCGATTCAGCATTGTCAGGACGCAACAGTGACGCCGATTCACAGCGCTGAACTCCCAGGAATGGTGTTCTGGCGCGATTTAGGATCGCCAGGACGCGCTAGTCAGCTTCATTCGTGGCGTTGGATTTCTGGGAATCGTGTTTTGTTACGCTTCAGGGTTTTCGCGCGATTGTCCCCCTACGGGGCAATTCCTTCAGTGGAAATGAACCTTTCTAGGGTCCTACGAAGAGGAAACTTGGCGGGAGGGTGTATTCCATCATCGTTGATGACTATTGGGTTCACACTGGTCTTCTTCTTCTTCCTCCTCCTCTTCCTCCTCCTCCTCCTCGTCGCAGGGGCATACGAAAGTGGAACTTCAGGAAGGGTCTATTGTTCATGCGTCGTGGATGCAGCCTCCCTTTCCTCCGCCGCCTCCTCCTCCTCCGTCCTCCTTTATATCTATATTTTTTGTTGTTGTTTCCCCTCCTGCTCCTCCTTCTCCTTTTCCTCCCTCTCCCCTCTCATGCTTCTCCTCCCCTCTTCTTGTCCTCCTCCTCCTCGTTCTCCTCCTCCTCCTCCTCTTCCTCCCCTTCTTCCTCCTCATCCTCGGCGCGCGGATGGCCTGTAGCCACTTGCCTACCGCGCGCCGGTGCCGACGGCGCAAGGGCCGGTCGGCCGCCAGAGCGAGGGCCCCACGTGGCGTGCGCCGAGCGGCGCGTCCCCTATTTCGCCGGGCAGGCGGAGCCGCCGCCGCGCCCTGCGGCGGCCCCGCCTCGCCACGAACTGGCAAGCGGCCCTCGAGTGGATATGCTTCCTGCATTCAAGCAGGGGCGAAGCGTCCTGGCGTGCCTATGGGCAAGAAGCCTACCAAACACTATTCTAAGAACCTCTTGTGGCTTCCACGGAATGTTCTTAGAACATTTCTGGTTGGGACTGTCTCATTTTAACACATCGAGTTTTTGTTCTTAGAACATTGTTGGGGTCTAAGAACATTTTGTGGTAGGCCTATAGGAATGCCGGGACGGTCGGTCCCTGCTCAATGCACTGGGGCGTTTCTTTGTGTAATCCCGCTGAGGCGATCGAGTAATGGCTGCAGGACAGCTCCGTAGTGGTGCCTGCTGGCAGTGCGTGCGAGGAGGCAGGAGGAGGCGAATCCGCCGAACCCCATCGTCGCCAGCTTTCACGCGAAGCCTTTTTTATCGGGCGTGCGAGAAGGAAGGGCAGTGGCCGCCGCTGGATGCGAATAAATAGATTGCCCTCACCGCCATCAAACACGTACGATGAGGAGCCTGCGGACATCGCGTGCGAGGAAAATGGGCAGTGGCCGCAAGAGGCGAATCAGGAACCCAACGTGGGGCCTCTTGGGGCGTCGTGGATCTCGAAAAGTAAATGGGCCCGAAATCATTGAGAAACCCCATGGAAATCATATATTTGCGGGACACTCTTCTTAGGCCTCGAGCTGAAGCTTGCCCAGGGCCGTCCTGGCGCAGCCTGGAAGCCTTCGGAGGCCATTCAGAGGGCATCTTCGGCGCTCTCGGAGTGTGATGGACCAGTTCGTTAGACTGTCGTACCAATGTGCTGGCCATCTGTGGGGCCAGGATGCCACTCAGGGAGCCTCGAGGGCGCCCCCGGGCCCCCCGGACCAGTAAAGACAAGGCGTCGGCCAGTCTAACCATACGGTACCATGTTGTTTTATCACCCTCTCTGTAAGCTCATGACATGCCAACAACAATTTCCGAAACGTCGTCATGTGACCCCTTCCTTAGTCTTTTCAGCGCCTTCTCGTCGCCGTTCCGATAGTACATAGCTTCGTGAGGGAGGAGGGAGGTGGGAGGAAGTAGGAAGGAGGAAGGAGGAAAGAGGAAGGAGGAAGGGGAATGAGGAGGGAGGAAGGCGGAAGGAGGAGACAGGAAGGAGGAAGGAGGAACGAGGAAGGAGGGAGGAGGGAGGAGGGAGGAGGTAGGAGGGAGGAGGGAGGAGGGGGGAGGGAGGAGAGGAGGGGGGAGGAGGAGAGGGGGGAGGAGGGAGGAGGGAGGGGGAAGGGGAGGAGGAGGAGGAGGAGCAGGAGGAGGAGGAGGAGGAGGAGGATGAGGAGGAGGAGGAAGAGGATGATGATGATGATGATGAGGAGGAGGAGGAGGAGGAGGAGGAGGAGGAGTAGGAACGAGGAGGATAGAGTTTGCGCACTAGCGCCCCAAGGTGGCGTTCGACCGGCCCGACTGCGAAGTGAACAAGTTTGGTGCGCGCCGCCCCTGGCCAGGGTAGGGTCGTTGCGTTCGGATGAGCAGGACGATGATGAGCGTAATGATGACGTTGATGCTGATGCTGACGTTGATGCTGATGCTGATGCTGATGATGATGCTGATTCTGATGCTGATGCTGATGCTGATGATGATGATGATGATGATGATGATGATGATGAGGACGATTATGATGATGATGATGATGATGATGATGATGATGATGATGATGATGATGATGATCGGAGTAGATGGGGTTGGAGGATCTCGCCGCATTCCCAATGCATCCGCGATGCGGCTCGATGTGGAGCCCGATTTGCTCCACGTCGACGTCGCCGATGCACCGCCGATGTCGACGTTGCATCGCCAGAAGGTCGAGGAGGAGGAGGAGGAGGAGGAGGAGGAAGGTGAAGGATAAGTGGGAGAGAACGAGGGAGAGGGAGGTGATGCTGGTGCTTCTGCGGCTGATGATGCTGATGATGGTGATGTTGCTGCTAATGATGGTTGTCTTTTGGTTTAGAGTGGTGAAACTGATGATGATGATGACGCTGGTGATGATGATGGTGCTGATGATGATGCTGCTGATGCAGGTGAAGATGATGGTGGTGATGATGATGTTGATGTTGAGGTTGAGGATGGTGATGATGCGGATGATGATGGTGATGATGACGATGATTACATGCTGCTGATGATTATGCTTGTGCTAATGCTGATGATGATTAGGGGGATTAGGATGATGAGGATGCGGGTGAGGGTGATGATGATGGTTATGATGTTGCTGAGTATGAGAAGTGTGTGTGACGACGACGACAATGTTGATGATATGCTGATGATGATGTTTGTGATGCTGCGGAGGAAGATTGTGTCGAATACCATGATGATGATGGTGTTGTTGATGATGATGGTGTTGTTGTTGATGGGGAAGATGATGCCGATGCTGATGTTGATATTGAGGCTGATGATGACGGGGAGGTGATGCTTATGCGGATGATGATGCTGCTGATGATGATGATGATGATGATGATGATAATGATGATGATGATGATGATGCAGATGATGATGATGATGATGATGATGATGATGCTGATGATGATGATGATGATGATGATAATGATGATGATGATGAATAATACGATGATGGTGATGGTGATGGTGATGGTGATGGCGATGGTGATAGTGGTGATGATGGTGATGATGATCAGGAGGATGAGGATGATGAGGATGATGAGGTTGAGGAGGAGGATGGCGAGGAAGAGGATGCGGATGAGGACAGGATTTTGGTGAGGATGAGGATGCGGATGAGGAGGAGGACGAGGAGTTCGAGGACGAGGCGGAGAACGAGTTTGAGGATCAGCAGGACGAATAGGAGGAGGAGGACGAGGAGGAGGAGGAGGAGGACCCTCAGCCATGATGGCTCAAGGTTTAGAGTTTCCCTCCTGAACGAGTGTACCGCTAGTCCGCGGCCAGCTTTCGGTGATTTTGTGAAGACAGCTCTGCACTCCCCCTTTTCTCGGGCGATTCCATCTCTTCAGTCTTGCGCAGGACCGGGTGGCCCTCCTCGTCTCTCGGCGATGGACATGGAACAGTTCAATACGTGGAAGTGCAGCAGTCGCCGCTGTGGGTACCAGTTCAATTTCCTCTCGCGCACGGCGTGGCAGGTTGTGCGGCACTGCAGCTCCCACCAACGTCCAAAGCCTCAGTATGGGCCGCACAGCCGCCAGCTCGGGGCATGGGCGCAGGGACCGCCGCGTCAGAGCCAGAGTGGCAAAGCCGTCGCCCCCAGCCTGGATAACATGGCGCTCGACATCTACGCTAAGATGGACAATGATGATTTCGCCAAGTTGTCCTCATATTGACCCCAGAAGCTGGTCGCGAAGGTCACGGCGAGGCGGGGTGTGCATGACGGCGAACCGAAGGTTACCGCACTGTGCGCTCGTATCGAAGAAGACCTCCTGCAAGACCAGGCTGACAAGGCCCAGCGGGCCTTCGACCGCGCGCAGGAAGCAGCCGATAAACCAGTGGTCGCCGCCGCCAAGTTGAAGCTAAAGCTGCTGGCGGCATGGGCTAATTCAAAGGAGGCTGCAGCCAGAGCAGCCAAGGCCTACGCCGAGATCGGAGCCGCAGAGAATCCAGCAGCGCACCTCGGCGCTCTCAGCAAAGCCCTGGGCAGGGAGACGAGCGCGGCTCGAGGGCATCGCCGTGCAGATCCTGGCGCTTCGGCCCCGCTTTGGGTGCGCCCCTGCCGTAGCCCGCTCCGCCTGCTGCTCCCGAGGTCGTTTGCCACGGGGCCTGGGCCCGGGGGCAGGAGGTGCCGCTCCGGCCGCCGACGGAGCAGCCGGGCAGCGAGGTGCCGAGGCCGAGGCCCAGCGGCGTGCCGCAGAGCAGCGTTCTGCCGAGACCGAGGCGCAGCGCCTTGCTGCCGCAGCCACCGCCGAGCAGCAAACCAAGGCTGCCTACGGTAGGTTCGCGTCGTGTCGACCATCGGCGACCCCGCCGCGGGCGTTCAAGGTTGAACGCCGCCAGTGGCCCAGAATCGACCAACATTTCACGATCGGGCGATCGACAAGCAGCCGATCGTTCAAGGTTGAACTATCCACGCGGTGTCAGAAACCAACGCCGGAGTCGTCACGACACGAACCTGCCGTACGCTCGGTTCAGGAGCATCACTTGCGCCAAGATCAGCTAGCGGCCTGGGAGTACAAGTTGCCACAGACTGGTTGGAAAGCGGCGGCAGCAGCCGCTGCAGACACGGGTCGTGGCGGCATTTCCAGGGCATTATATACTTCAAATGCTACCTTTTGCATCTGGTGTGTGTGTGTGTGAGTGTGTGTATGTGTGTGAGTTTGTGCCGTCTTTATTTTCGGATGGTTGGGTTCGAGTTTTGCATTGTGCGGGGCTCGCGCGCCAGGGAGTTGTTTTCGCCGCAGTGCACTTGCACCGTGGACAGGAGTTGGGGGCCCGAGAGTTGGAGTATTCTCTCGGACCCCGGTGCAATGCTCAAGCAGATTGCGTTGCCTTTTGTCGTGTGTGGCAATGTCCAGTTGCTTCCTGGCACGTTGCAGGCGTCTGGTTGGACAGACGCACCGGATGCAGCGTGCGTTTCGCATTCGGGTCCAGCGCGGGTCAGCAACTCGGATAGCGCCGCCATAAGGATATCATTTTGTCGTGTCGCGGTTCATCCATTATGGTGCCTCGGAGCTGGTGGTTCGTGACGGGGGCGCCGCGCCTCGCCTTCCTGCGGCGTTGAAGTTGCCATCGATGAAGTCAGCGGATTTGGATTGCGTCGTCGCCCGTGCGCCCGAGAGGCTGCCACACGACATTCCCATTGGTTGCAGGCGTGCTGATCCCAGCATGGTCGTCGTACCAGGACCAGTGCGAGGGCATGGGCGTCAATTTGAAGTGGCGGTGCTGGCAGGGGTGCGCCGAGCACGACTCGGCCGACGTCCTCGGCCTGCCCGTGGAGCAGGGCAGCGAGCGTTTCGGCGGGTCCGAGGGCCCCCGTTACTCTGCCGAGAAGTCTGCTCCAGCGCGCGACCTGCCTTGCCCTAGGCTAAGTGCGCGTGCTCTTTGGCGGCGGCAGCTCGCCCGCGCGTTGGGCGGCCCCGCGGCCGGGCAGCCGCCCGACCTTCGCGCCGGCGCGCTCAGGCGCATCAGGTCCCTGACTCTTGCTGTCAAGAAGAGCAAGGTTGATGTGCTCCAGGCTCGTCCTCGGCGGCCGTTGCTCGAGTTTGCCGCGTCTGCCTTCGACTCATTGGCAGCTGCTCGAGCCGAGGTCGCGCGCTCTCCGGCCGCCGCCGAGCGCGGGGTCGCTGCGACGGACGCGAGTCGCAATTGGAGGCAGCGGGTCGCGGCCCACTTTTGAGCGAAGGTGCCGCGCTCCATGCCAGCAGCAAGCCGCCCGCGCCCTGGCGCGCCGGCGTTATTTCGCCGCGCGGCGCGCCAGCCGCGCAGCAGGAGGAGGTGGGGCGGTCGGGGGCCGAGTGGGCGGGTTGGTGGAAGGTCGGCGCTCTCAATGATGACCTGGCGCGGCCCGCGGATCTTGGGCCCGAGCTCGCGGCTCCGAGCCTCGACGGGGTCAGGGCCGTGCTCCGATGTTTTCCTGGGCGCTGTCGCTGCGGGGTTGGCCGGGTCAGCCAGCGTCAGTGGCTGCGCCTCTCAGAGCACGCGCTTCTCGCATTTGTAGATGTGCCGGTTGACGTCGAGCGTGAGTGCGTTTGGCCGCATTTGTTTCACGGAGGTGGTTTTCTCCACTAAACGCGAAGAGGGGGTGCGCCCCGTGGCGATCGCGCGTGTTCTCGCGCGCGTGCAAGGATAGTCCTCTGGTTGGCGAGTGGCAGTCCAATCGTCGGAGAGAGTGCTGATAGGCCACCTCGGACCTCGGCAATGACGAGCTCGGTTGGGCCCAATCGGCTGGCTCGGGGTGGTTTCGACAGCGCCTTTTCGCCAGTGGCTTGGTGCATTTGGACATCTAGACAGCGTTCGAACACGTTCGCCATGCTGTTTTGTTAAGCGCGGCTGCTTGGGCATGGTTTTCGACCCGCCAGTTGATGCCTCTCGCGGGGCTGCGTCGCTTTCCCGGAGTTTTGACTTTCAACGACTCAGTGTCTCATGAAGTGTCCACGTCGGCAGCTGCGCTGCCAGGGTGCCATCTGTCCACTTGGGTGCTGCTTTTGGTCCTGGCATTGCCCCTTGATTCTGTCCTGCAAAAAGCTTTCGCGCGGCGCGCTTAGGAGTTGTCGTCGACGACGTGGGCGCGCGCCAGATCGGCCGCGACGCAGGCGCGGTCGTGCGCCTGGTGGGCGCAACTCGCATGCTGCGCGCTGAGCTCGAGGAGATGCACCTCCCCGTTGCTCGTCGGAAGTCTCGGGTCGATGCGTCTTCGCACTCGGGTCGAGCTCAGGTGGCGCGGGGGTTGGCGCGCTTTTATTTCGAGGCATTTAATGGCGAGCGCAACCTCGGCATCAATTCTGCAGCAGCCAGTGTCATTCTTAATTGCGCG